CACACACACACACACACACACACACACACACACACACACACACACACACACACACACACACACATATATTTTCTGCCAAAAAAGTGGGGGGGCCCGGGCCCCCCCGGCCCCCCCGTACGCGCCGCCCCTGCTATAGATGCTTCAGAGCCGATATTATGGCGATGTGTAAATTAATTTAATGCTAGGGATTGAGAGAAAAGATTCGTGTTCAGGATAAAACCACATTGGAATTACATAGTCCTCTAGTCTAGAACAAATCATAACCCACCCTCCCCTGTGTGTGAATCACTCAGGGCGGCTGCACGCAAAAACAGCATAATCATCAGTATGTTGATGGTGGCCAATATAGCGTAGAACAGTGTTCGTGTTGTAACCCTACTCTTGCTGAGAGGGTCTATGTCCCCCAGGGTACTGCCGGAACGTACCCTGGTACTATTTAATATGCCGGACGGTACCGTACCTCGCCTATTCCACTAACGAGTCTAGAAAGTCGCCTACGCCTACTCCCTAACCCTATCAAATAGTTACCAGGGTACGTTCCGGTATACCGGACCGTACCCAGGGTAGGGTACGTTCCAGGAGTACCCTGGGGGACATAGACCCTATGTCTATGAGTATGAGCCATCTTGTCACTTGAAGTCTTGTGAAGTTGTGTTGTAACTTCAAACTTGTTCACTAATCCTGTATTTCACTAATGACACTATTAATATTATTATATTAGGCCTACTAGAAGAATATAAATTACAATGAATTTAATTCATATCTGGTCAACAGAAAACTTACCACGATATAATTGCACAATCAGCAGTATAGCCTTATCAGATCCCATCAAAAATATAGCAACGTAACACAAAATATCTAAGAACAACAATTCAATATTTCCGCCATATTGAACTGCCAGGAAGTTGTCGTTGCTGCCATCTATCGAACATTATAACAAATGTGAGAAATGTGGTTCTTTTAACATATAGTGCGGTCATTTATATCCCATTTATTATTGTCATGCAGCATCATTGCGAACCAAACGTTTATAAGTTTTTAGATAATATTTCAACGCAAGGCTCGAAAGCGGTGTTCCTGGAAAACAGAATTCTGTCGACGGAAATGAATGGATCGGAGTATGTTATCATTCCGCCATGAAAAGAAATAGTTCAGCATCGGAATCGCAATGTACAATGGAAACAAGCATTTTTGCAAAACATAATCTGTGATCCACACTTATTGTACACAACACGTTATCAATAAACAAAATACTATTGAGTTTATAATGTTTTTAATACGAAATGACATTAGCTGAGGAGATGGTGGAGTGATACTGACTGATAGGTCCTGAATGTTGTTATGCGGTTGCGGAATAATCACTGTGCATGTTCCATGATGTTCCTCAACTCGATACATTCAGAAAATTTTATTCCTATTCTGGAACTTGTAATGCGTTTCCTGTGTTGTTTCCAATGAAACTTGGCTATGATGTGACTATTCATACAAAACTAATAACATCTAGGAGCTTTTACTGGTATTACCGATTGTTTCCCGAATGTGTGACTCGAGAAGGTAAGATTCGGAACTGGAGACTGAAAATGAAAAGTAGAGTGGAGATGAAGGTTGATCTAGGTAGATGTCGTAGACGATTTCGTTTATTAAGACTTAATTAAGTCAATAACGCATCAGCAAATGCCAAATGCAATTAGAACTCCGATTATATCGCAGTATAGTATATTCACAAGCACTACTGTATTTATTAGGTAAAAAAGGCCAAGTTCAGGTGAAAGAAACTACTCGAACATATTATAATTTTATATAGGTAACGGTAACTGGCAGTGGCATTGCCAAGGCTATGTATAATAAATAATGTAACTTGGTTTACGCATGACACATTAATTATAAATATTTATAATTCTACGTATGTCACCACCATAATTACGACCTTAACCTGTTGGTCCTAACTCCATCATGCTCATACATGGGTGCCCTCCGAGTAATGGGTGTTGACCACACACAGTACTGTTGAGTCATCAGATTCAGTGTGTTTACATGCATGCCATACGTTTGTACGTGTGTGCGCACATGTGTACATGCGTGTGTACGTGCGTGCGTATATGCTCGTGTGTACGTGCGTGCGTATATGCTCGTGCATGCGTACGTGCGTGAATGTATACGTTCGTGCGTATGTGCAGGCATATATGTACAAGCATGTGTGTGTATGTGCGTATGTGCATCCGTGTGTACATGTGTGCGTTTGAGAGAGCAAAGAGACTTGGAGAAAGAGAGGAATAAAGGTGCCAATGAGGATATAAAAAAATGGTATATATATATAGAACATGCTTTGTGTCGTCATTGACGCTGAAGGGGTCGTTGTCGTATCAGGTAATAAATATGTATACACAAAGTGTACCAGACTTGTACTACAGAAGTGTACCCTAACCCTAACCCTAATCCTAACCCTAAACATACCTCATAAAAATATAAACATAATACTAAACAACCTAAAACTACCTCGGGTACATATATGTAGTACCTGATACGACAACAACCCTTTCTGCGTCATTGACAGGGGCGGATTAAGGCTCACTGGTGCCCTAAGCACTGACCAATCTTGGTGCTCCCCTCCTTTCCACACTGACCCTTGTATATTTGGTCAGACAGGTCAACAACTAAAATGGACTTGCAGGTTGCAGCAGTACAAAAATTTATGTAGGATCTCAAGGAGGGTGGTGATAAACAGGCGGGGGGTATGGCGGTCCTCCCCCAGAAATTTTTTAAAATGTAGATCGCAGGAGATGGTATTTGAGGCAATTTTGAGCGTACATGCATGTACACCTTCATTCTGACTACGAGTCAATCTATTTGTTTTTTTACACGTTTCAGTTATGAGAAATACCTCTCTGTTGTGCAGTTGGTGACCATTAATGTTAAAAATATTCTTAAGACAATTTCAACATTTGATTTGGAAAGGCACTCTCTAGTTTGTCTTCTGTAATTGTGTTGTAAAGTTCCATGTGAGTGAAAGATGTTTTCTTGGTTGTTTTAAACTTATGAAGAACATATGAATGGAACTGCTGAAGCTCTGTAGACAAAGTGTTGTTCATTTCATTTGGATAAGCATCAATGAGTGTCTGACAAGTCTTTGAGTACCTTTCACTTTCTGATAATTGGGAATTAGCACCTTGTTGGGTGGCATTAGGGGCCCCTTGTATTGTATTGTATTGTTGGGGGCCCCTTGTGGTACACCTGGGAAGTACAAATCTTTATTGTTTTTTTTTTCTTTTCACCCTTTTCCCAACTTTGTGGTGCCCCCTTTGGCCCTGGTGCCCTAAGCACGTGCTTAGTCTGCTTAATGGTTAATCCAGCACTGGGCAGAGGGGGAGCACGGCGTGGGGAGGGGCAGCAGGAAGTGAATGAGGGGGTGTGGGGGAGGGGCAGTGGTGAGTATGTGTTGTGAGTCAGCATGGCGTGGGGGAGGGGCAGCAAGGCGTGGGGGAGGGACAGCAAGGCGTGGGGGAGGGACAGCAAGGCGTAGGGAGGAGTAGTAATGC